CAATCCCCAACATTCTGTGATTCTGTAATGTGAAGACTGTGTTGTCACCTTCAAATCTTGGGAAGTTTTTGCTTAAGAAGAGTAATGGTTTCTTTGGTGAAATTGGTGGCACTGGGTGCAAAGAGAAGGGATCCTGTTAAGTCTGAAAAAGGAATTGCTTTCCTGGTGACACAGCTGAGTCTTTTTGGGAACTAGGACTCAGGACAAATAGTTATCCTATGGTTTTTCTCTGTTATCTTTTTTGATGCCTTGTGGGTTTAGACTAGCTGTCTGAATACCATTTTGGGGTCTGTCTTTAAAAAGAGAAACATAAAAAAAGAAAACCTCCAAACCCTTCTCTTGTTTTTGGAAGTGGCAACTGTCAGAGTCCAAAATAATGGGGTTTTTAGATGTTTAACCTGTCTTTAAACTGTATTTTTATTAAACTAATCCTTCTCAAATTTATTCTCATATGATTTTTTTATTTATTTAATTGATTCTTTTGATTGATTGAGTCTAAATGTCTTCTGTTACACGACCTGCCTAATTGAAAGAAAAATGCCTTGACCTGTTATAACTGTGTTTTGGCAAAGCAGGCCTTCCTCATTAGTCGAGTCATCTTCAGTGACTGGCACTGAACTTGGTAGGCTCATGGTTTTAATTTTTTAATTTTTTTTTTTTTTTTTTTTGCAAGATTGTTTTCACTGAATCATAAGAACCCGCAGATTACAACATCCTGCCTCTTTCCCCTTGAGTCATTCCAGTGACTGAAAAGGATTGTCTCCTTCAGGAGGTGTCATTCCTGCCTGTCTATGGGTTGTGACAGAACGGGCTTCTGAGCTGGCTACCCTCTAGATGCAGTTGCAAAATAAGTGGTTTAATGATAATTCTGTGTTTGGCTATTCCACAATATTCATGTGTGAAGTTAGATGGGCCTCTGGGTGTTTGCTGGGCAGGCAAAAGCTGAAAGGTTCCTTGTTTGGTTTTGATGTTGTGTTTTGTTTTGTTTTTTTTTTCCCCCTTAATAATATTAATGTAGGGAGATGCAAGGAAAATAAGAACAGCTTTTATATTTCACTGGGGAAGGACTTTTCATAAGGGCAATGAATGACAAAACAAGGGGAAATGGGTTTAAGCTGAAAGAGGGGAGGTTTAGATTAGATATTAGGAAGAAGTTCTTCACTGTGAGGGTGGTCAGACACTGGAACAGGTTGTCCAAGGAAGTTGTGGCTGCTCCTCCCTGGAAGTGTTGAAGGCCAGGTTGGATGAGGCTTTGAGCAACCTGGTCTAGTGGAAGGTGTCCCTGCTGCTGGCAGGGGGGTTGGAACTGGATGAACTTTAAGGTCCCTTCCAACCCAAACCATTCTATGATTCTGTGATTATTTATTACACACTGTTGCATGCCTGACTTCTGTAAACTCACCTCTGATTTCCTTACACAGGACTAGTGAGTAACGTGATTTTCACAAGTCATGCTACAGAGCAGAAACATCCACTCCTTATGCAACTGCAGAGCCTTATCCGGGCGGCAAATCCTGGTGTTTCCTTCATCTTGGCAGAGAATGGAGTTGTAACTAGGTAACGTTAATCACTGTCCAGTGTTTGTCACTTTTGGCAGGTGAGATACATGCGCTTAGAAACTTGTGTTCTCTTGTTTTACTCTGGTAATTTATACAAAGGAGATGTGGGGTTTTTTTCTTCCATTACTTCTCATGCAAAAGGCATCTTCCCTTTACATTTATGATTATATAATAAATACTGGCATCAGGAAATGTTTGTTTTTGGTTGCAGAGTATGACTTATGTTACTGTTACTGTCATACTAAGGAAAAAAATACTCTTTAATTTTACTGTGAGTGATGCATTCTGGTTTATGTAAGTGCTATACAGATAGTGGCTATTTAATTGAACTTATACATTAAAAATCTTCATCTTTATCTCTTCACAGGAATGAGGATATTGAATTAATTCTCTCAGAAAGCAGTTTTTCAAATCCTCAGATGATGAGAGCTCGATATTTAATGTATCCTGGCTGGCAAGTATCTAGACTGAGAAATATTAAAACTATTTTTATAATTAACTTGAAGATTAAAAAGTCTCACTAACTTAATTTATATTTTTTTTCAAGACTACTCATTTGGAAAAGGCAATAGCTTTGTAAATCATTTTTTAAAGGGAGCTGATGAGTATTCTTAGCAGATACACGATTGCTGCCCTTTTATGGGGGAAAAGATCCTTTCTGGACACTATTTAAATCAATGGCAAGATTACTGTTGCTTTTCAGAAGAATAGAAAAGAACCCTCTGGGAATAAACTGGGAAGGATTGGGATGGGTGAGGTCAATAATGACTGGAGTAATTTCATTCTGACAGCTACTCAGCCTTACTGGAATGAACTTGCTATGTCAGTCTAGCTATTAGCAGAACAATTATTCATAAAAACCAGCAGTTTTTATTGACAGTCTTGGCAGAGGCTAAGGGCACAATAATACATGGTACCAAGCTTTCCATTTAATACTGAGTGATTATTTTTCATGGTTCAGGGCTCTTTAAACATCTTGTTGCATTTATCTGTGCTGCACCTATTTGGCAGCAAATGTAAACCTGTCAGCTGTTATAACTCAAGGCTGACTTGTTTTCTAGTTGGGTTTATAGTGCTGGAAGTATGATTTATTTACCATACCTTGCCAGTCTTGTATGTGCATATATCTTTTTATTCATAATTTTCCTCTAAATTGGATGCAAGTGAAGCTTCTAAAAGAGAAACTGGCAAGAACCTTGGGATGTCAGAGCTGCTTGTGGATTGTGTGGAGCCAAAGGGAGAGAGAAAGCAGGAAAAGAAAGTATTTAAGATTTTGGGACATTTGTTAATCTATTTGATGATAGTATGCAAGAATAGTAGGTACATAGTATGTAAGAAAAAAAAAATGCAGCAAGAAGAGCATCAAAAAGAGCCCTGAGCTCTTTGAACAACTGAATACTGTTAATATCACATTCTCATGAATGTCTTAGAGAAGAAGCTCTAAGAAGAAAGTTGTGGTTGTTTTTTTCTATAAGCAAAGCTTTCCTGTGGCAAAATAGATGATCCTTTTAAGAAGTTTGTTAGATGAAAAGCACCAGTGTGTATGTTTCCTGTATGTTAAAGCTGTGTGTTTGTTTTTGTCCTTAAGGTATGAAGGTAAATATGGAGCTGGGTCTATCTTCCCTCCAATGGTTCAGATCTGTGTGTGGTTTAATCGTCCTCTAGAAAAAACACGCTTTGTGACCAAATGTAAAGGTACAAATGAACTTTGACTGACTTGATTTAAATCCAAGTTTGAAATACTGAGCAATAGAGGGGGAAAGAAGGCACTGACGTAGCACAGTTATTTAATTACTGCTGAAGTAAACTTTTAATTGAAAATTCAGCTTTCCTTCCTTTAAGTACAGTAAATTGTCTTCTTTAGTGTCTGCTCTGGAAAATTGACCCATGATTTTGTTCAGATGAAAATCTAATTGAATTTTTGGTTTCTAGAGACCGAGATACTTATTTTCATATGTGTGCTTTTTATTTTATGTTTAATTTTATTTAGCAGTGTTGAAATACAGTTTATAAGTGACCATCAGCTTCTACTTTTTATGCCAAATAGTTCTTTATAGTTACTAGAAAATAGACTCAACTCTGTGTTAACCTATGAGAGTAGATACATAATCATGCCTTTCCTTCTTTCCTCAGTGAAACAGTGTTAAGGAGCATCATTTTACTTTACACACACACTGTAAGCATTCATTATGCCAAACACGTGTTATTTCCCACCTACCCCATAGCAAGAAATGAGAACATAGAGAAATGTTCTGTAGTGGGGCTCTGGGGTTGCTTTTTCCCCTGAAGCAGTAGGATGTGGATCAGAGACCTGTAGCATAGGTCTAACCAGAAGTTACACCAAGGAGAAGAACAATAAGTGAGATAATGTGTTTGTCTTGTATTTCAAACAGGAATTAAGTCATTGCTCAAGCCAAGTCCTTTTTCTGGAAACATTTATCATATCATGGGCAAAGTTAAGTTTTCAGGTAAGGGCAAATCACTTCTTAACATAGAATGGTTTGGGTTGGAAGGGACTTGAAAGCTCATCCAGTTCCAACCCCCCTGCCAAGCAGGGACACCTTCCACTAGACCAGGCTGCTCAAAGCCTCATCCAACTTATGCATTATCTTATCATTGCACCACATGTGTATGTATTTGAAAACTTTTCTTTATGTACTATACTCTCTAAACCAATGTGTTGATGTTAGATTAGGAATTATCAAGATGTGTCTTTCTTCCACCTTCTCTTTCTTAGATTCTGATAAAGTGATTGAAGTCTGCCACAACACATCATCTAATTCACTAAGCCTTGTGCCTGTTCAGGAGGGGCCAACTCCTCCTGATTCAAGAAGCGATAACAGAGATGGCAGCAGTCAACAGGAGTTCTTCCTTGTGTTCATTGGCTGCTCTCTGAAGGAAGAGGATATAAAAGACTGGCTCAGAGAAACTGCAAAACAGGTTTGTGGGCATGTTTCCTTCTGTTTGGCATTTCTTAACAACAAAAGGAAGAATCCAACAAAAGGAAGAATGTCCCAATGAAACTTTTTTTTTTTGATCTTTTTTCTTTCTACCAAGGTATTAACATTCCAGAGTATAAATGTATTTCAGAGGACTAACAGTTTGCAAATGTGTATTGTAATTTGTCTATTGTTTTAATATCTGCTACACTGTATTCATGGATTGATCTGCTTTTGAACACTTGAGCAAATGGAGTACACCCAGAATAAACACCCTATCATTTAGCTGAGACACGATTGCCAAAAGCTAAAGTGTAGTATGAAATAAATCTTCTTGAAGTACCTGAACACTGCAAAGCTGAAAACTTGTTTTGATTCACTAAATTAAACCTCCTTGGAAATAATCCATTGAAATAGAGGGTAGAATTTTTTTTTTCATTCTGTCTTGACTAATTTGTCAAGTGCTGCAGCTATGTAAGACTTCATGTGTTTCTGCATGGCTAACATACCTGTGCAATAGAAGCTGCCATAGGGAACAGGGAATAAGCACATCATAAGAAGCCTGGAAGGCACATTTTGCAGTTGTGGTGCCTTGCTAACTTCACACAGTGACTGACACGACGTAACCAGGAGTACAGGACAAGATGGTTTGCTGCTACACAACCAAATAATACCAGGTCTTAAGAAGTGAGTCTTGAGGCTTGATTCAGAAATATACTTGGACAGAAACTGTTCAGCCATACAAATCGGATATTTTCACACTCTAGTTGGAACCTGAATCTATAGTTTCAACTGTGCCCTTTCCCAATGCCCATTTTGGAACATTTGTTACCTAAAAATGCTCATGGTTACTTCTTTATGGCTTAGGATTTGCATAGTATCTCTTAAAAAGTTCATAGAATCATAGAATGGTTTGGATTGGAAGGGACCTTAAAGCTCATCCAGTTCCAACCCCCCTGCCAGCAGCAGGGACACCTTCCTCTAGACCAGGTTGCTCAAAGCCTCATCCAGCCTGGCCTTGAACACTTCCAGGGAGGAGCAGCCACAGTTTCTCTGGGCAACCTGTTCCCACCCTCACAGTGAAGAACTTCTTCCTAATATCTAATCTAAACCTCCCCTCTTTCAGCTTAAACCCATTTCCCCTTCTTTTGTCATTAACTGCCCTTAAGTTGTGTAGGGAGAGAAAAAAATCGAAGGATCTTCTCTCACCTCTGTTCTCCTAGCAGGTTGTGTTACTTCAGGGAAGTATACATTTTCTGTGATGATATCTCATGTTCTGTGTATATCATGTAGGTAATATATGGAGACAAATGCTTTTGATGTGTAAGAAAGCACTCTATGGAATGCTATTTTAATTTTATGAAGACTTGGAACTTAAAATTAAATGTGTATCTCGAATGTGAGGTACTTCCTCTTTGAGCAGTTCAAAACTACATATAGTCTTCGTACAATCTGACTGGTCATGACTAATTTAGGGTTTCAGATAGTTCTGAGAATTGCTGCGTGCAAGAAATTAATTACAGAACGTTCAGACTAAAAACTAGATTGTTTTTCTGTTCACATGCCAATTTTTTTCTGTTTTTTTTTTTAAATGTAGACCTGTATTTAAATTGTATTGTTTAAAATTGTATTGCTTAAAATACTTTTAGAATTTGTCATCTCTAATGGTGCTTTATGTGAGATCACCTAAGTTCTGCTTTTATTTTCAGAGCGCAGTTGTGAGTGCTTTAATATTGAATAATTCTGTCTAGAAATTCATTGTAAAAATACATGCTTCTATAAAGAATACTTTGTGCTGAACTTGAGCATGGTAGCATGTGATCATAGATTTCACTGCCTTTACCCACATTTTCAAGACAGAACTTTTCTGTGGCTTGGGGAAGGGGTGGGGGGGGCTCTTTTGGGGGGTTTTTTGGCTATTTTGTTTTGTTTTGTTTTTTTAATGTAACTAAACTGTAGCATCACATTGTCACACAGTAGGTATATAACTAGGGTCTAATTCTTCCTACAGAAACCTCAGAGGAAAGCCCTGAAAACCAGAGGAATGTTAACCCTTCAGGAAATAAAAAACATTCATGTAAGTAGAAACAATTTGTAGCAAGTCCTTTTTTAGCCTGATTTTCTTAAATATCCATTTGTATAATAAAGCACCTTCCGTACTTGCTGTAACAAGTGTGCTGAATGCTAAATTATCTCAACACTTTTTATACACTTAAAACATAACTGAGGCTGTCCAGGAGGGATGTGAGAGATAAATCTTGGTGTTATCTCAGAGCTTCAAGTTAGGGGGATGTGTAGGGTTTTGTACAAACATCCACTTTTGGTTACTGTAATGGGATTTCCCCATTTTTTTCACCCTGTTCTGTGCTGTACAGGTTGTCACATACAAATTAGGATCCCAAATATCTAATCCTACCCTCATCAACTACCTTTAGGTTGGAAGTGCTATCTCTGGAGTTGGGTTCCTAAGAGTTTGGCATGGCTATGGTTAGTCTTGCTGTACCTAATGCCCCTAGTCCATATGGATGTAGTTTGTCATACTGATTTTTCAGAGCACTCCTTTATAGCTGGGAGCCATACCTTCCTCCCTGGCTGTTAAGTTCAACAGAAGGAATTTTTCTTTTATCTATTTAAGTTTGTTAGGACTGTCTCTAAGTAAGTTTTAAATCTTTAATGTATGTTATTTTTTCTTAATGTAGGTGAAACGCCACTTGGATCCACTTCCAGCTGGTTATTTCTACAATGGGACTCAATTTGTGAATTTTTTTGGTGACAAAATGGATTACCATCCATGTATCCTTTAAAATGTTGGGGTGTTTTTGGTGAAGGTTTTAGGTAAGCCACCGGCTATGCAAATCTGAAATGTAGACTGTCAAAGCAGATC